TCATTAAATTCCTCTTTAAACTTCATTAAATAATACAATTTTGTACAAATAATTGAATGTTATGCTACTATGCTACTATAAAAATAAAATCAGAAATCCATTAAAAGATAAGTTCTCTATCATTTTTTCTATTCACAAATGATTTTGCCCTCACACTTGCATTGCCTACTAAGAAAGTTAGTAGCCAGTAGTCATTGGGTTAATTTCCATTCAGCAAGAAAGGAAGTGACCAGTCTATGTCCACATGTTCAGTATTATTTTATATTTTGAGCAGTTTTTTATATTATGTTTCATGCATTTTTCTGTTCCATTGTTTTATCAGTTGTGTTTCCAAGTTGACTGACTCATGAAAGATTTTTCACTGTTAGACTGTTCATATTTACTTGATGTGTTTGTTGTGCATTTAAAGTACGTTTACTAAAGTTCCTACATGAGCTAAAAGCAGAGAATTTCTTTTTTCATTTGCTTAAAGAAATTTCTCTGAGATATAAAGAAGTTAAGAAATTGGCAAACAAATTAACTTTTCTTTGACTTCTGAATTATGTTTTATGTTTGCCTTATGTCATTGTTTTGTATTTACAAATTTTGTAATCGTCTTCTCACTTAATAAAAGTAATGTTCAATTTTGTATATGTTTCACTCAGTGTAATCTTATACAAGGTTATTATAAAGAAGCCACATATTTGCTTTCTGAATTTTTCTTTCATTACAAACAAATTAGTCCATGTTAGATACATGATATCTGGCCCTTGAATCAATGATGCTACACCATGTAATATTTTAATGGTTGTATATTTTTTTCCCATGTAGTAACAACATGTTGTACCCGAAGGAAGATAAAGAAAACAAAGTTCTCCTCTATGCAGTAAGTTTTGCTTTGTAATTTTTACTTACAGTTTTAAACAGAAAAAGACATAGTTCTTCCTTTATGCAGTAAGTTTTGCTTTGTAATTTTTACTTACAGTTTTAAACAGAAAAAGACAGTTCTTCCTTGATGCAGTAAGTTTTGCTTTGTAATTTTTACATACAGTTTTAAACATAAAAAGCCATAGTTCTTCCTTGATGCAGTAAGTTTTGCTTTGTAATTTTTACATACAGTTTTAAACAGAAAAAGACATAGTTCTTCCTTTATGCAGTAAGTTTTGCTTTAAAATTTTTGTATACAGTTTTAAACAGAAAATGACATAATTCTTCCTTTGAATACTTGCATTCATTTTCAATAACCAGTTTGAATTGATCAAACAAAAATGTTCCAAATTATCTTTAGTTTTGGCTACTGTGTTAATTTTTTATGAAATATAAAAGAGAAATCTTGGAAACATATAATAAACGTTTTTTTGCCTCATGTATATTGAGATCTGCTTTTTTTAGTATTGGAAATTTGTTATTGGTTTCAAATTCATCTGTTGTAAAGTTATATTGTAGCATGCTATCACAACTAAGAAATAATCAGTATTTTGTTTTTGAATAAAATCCATAACCATAATTATATTGTTTTGTGATTTTTAGTGTCGGAACTGTGACTACCAGCAGGTAGCTGATAATAACTGTATATATGTGAACAAAATTACTCATGAAGTTGAGTGAGTAAAGTTCAAGCTTTTCTATCTGTGATTTCATGAGTTAATATTGTGAAAGGAAAGTTAACATTTTCATGTATATCTATAGAAATATATTTATATTAGTGAAGATTGCATAAAACTTAGAAGTAATATTCAATTTTTTGTTTAAAACTAAACATTTCATATGTTTTTATTTTGTTTGCAATTAATAATAATGCTTGTCCAAATTAAATTCCTATTATCATGTTAAACCAAGAATTTGATATAGAATTAATAATATTTATTCAAATTAAGTTCCTACTGTCATCTAAGAATAAGCGTTTGATATGTTTAGATCTAATAATAACATTGTCCAAATTATGTTCCTACTTTCATGTAAGGAAATAAACATTTGATATATGTAAAATTCATAATAATGTTTGTCTAAATTAAGTTCCCATTATTGATCAAAAAGTTAAATTTTATACATCAAATTTTAAATTGTTTTGTATTCCAAAAAATACTTGAATTTTGTTTTGATTCTTTTTCTTGTGCCTACTGAAGCATTTATGAAATCCATTAAGTAAATTTGGCATAGTCAATAATGGCTTATGTCAAACGTCATTGTGCAATTTACTGTAGGGCACCATCTTGATTTTTAAATTGGCACATTCAGTTTATTTGTGTATTTGTAACTTAACTGATATGAGTCAAACTTAAGTCATTGTATATAAATAATGAATTTCAGGTCATTGTTTAGGTCATTAAATAGATGCCTATTGAAACTAAATCAGGTACCTTAAAAATTGTCAGGAAATGCATTTTAGGGTGTGTAAAAAAATGTTTAAACTCAGTTGTGGTGCTGCTACTGGGCCACTCCAAGAACTTAGGTTGTCCTCAGGTCCTTTGCCATATTTTTAGAGGTTTCCACTTTCTCAAGACTTCCATTTCAGCCTTACACAGTTAAATAGTCACACTAGAAAATCTTATCCATACAAGTCAAACCTGCATGAGAATCAAATATCTCTTCCATCCCAATCTTTACAGAGTCAAGTAGTCACAAGAAGATCTTATCTGTCTTAGTTAAACATGAAATATGTATCTCTGTAAAATCTTGTGGGGTTGATTGTGTCATCAAAAAATTTAAAAATCATGTTTGTTGCATGAAAACTGAAACAAATGAATGAAGAATAATCTTGCTTTTTGACTTAATTTTATATTAAAATTAATATTTTAATGGATGTTCCAAGAAAGCTTCTAGTTCTAATAGGGTTTGATTTCTATTAATTTTCTAAGCTAGTTATTGAAAAACACCTAGTAACAAAATAATTCATAGCAACATTTGATGGTTTTATTTAGCGAACTGACCCAGATTGTATCTGATGTAATTCATGATCCCACCTTGCCAAGAACAGAAGACCATCCTTGCCCTCGTTGTGGTCATAGAGAAGGTGTGTTCTTTCAGGCTCAGTCACGACGAGCAGAAGTAAGTAGATTGCTCTCTCAAATTCCATAGACCAATGTTTTCTTATGTTGTAATTGCACAAAAATGTGTTCTTTTAGACTCCAGGCCCAAATGAATTGGGTTGGGCATGACCTGTTGATTAGAATGCCAAACTGTGGATCTGAGGATTTATGATTTGTGCCATGTGGAAAAAAAAAAAGTTCTACACACTGGGGGCATTACAAGAGTGACAGTCAAATTTAACTACTCTATTAGAGTATTGTAAGAGTTGGCATTGGGTGCTGTTTAATTGTTGTCTTCTTTCTAGTTTGTCAGTTGAAAACTAGGGAATGACTGTCATAAACATCCCTTTTTTTTTCTATTTATGTGAATATACATGAAAAAAACTAACCAACAAACAATGATAAATTTATTACAATCAGTGTTTTGGCAATCTTATCTGACCAAATAGTAGTCCATCTCTCTATATCCCTTGGTAGTGATTTCTTACACATCTTAGCATTAATTCATCTCTCTATCCCTTAGTGGTGATTTCTTACACATCTTAGCATTAGTCCATCTCTCTATCCCTTGGTGGTGATTTCTTACACATCTTAGCATTAGTCCATCTCTCTATCCCTTGGTGGTGATTTCTTTGTGTAAGAAATCACCACCAAGGGATAGAGAGATGGACTAATGCTAAGATGTGTTCTTAGCATTAATCCATTTCTATATTCCTTGCTGGTGAATTGTTACACATCTTAGCATTAGTCCATCTCTATCGCTTGGTGGTGATTTCGTACACATCTTAGCATTAGTCTATCTCTCTATCCCTTGGTGGTGATTTCTT